CCCCCAATCCCGCTGACACCCCCAGGCCCCCCCCTCAGCCCCCCAATTCCGGGGTGTCCCCCCCACCCCGGGGCCCCCCGCGCTCCCCCCGGCCCCGCCCGGGCCCCTCGCTGCTCCTCGGCCCCACCCCCGGAGGGGCGGGGCTTGATCGCCATTGGCCGCCGCGCCCGCCGCTCGGGAGCTGCGCGCGATCCGATTGGCCGGGGCGAGCCGTCAATCAGCTCAGGAGGGGCGGGGCGGGCGGAGCCGCTGCCGCACGAAAACTCGGGGAGAGTTGTGGGGGGGAGGGGCCGGCCGGGGGTCCCACCGCCCCCCCCGGGAGCTCCCCGGGACTTTCCCCCTTCCCGCCGCCGCCACCGCCGGCCCCGCCGCCGCCGCCACCCCGAGGCGGCCCCGCCTTCGCTGCCGCCGCCGGTGCCGCCGTTACCTGAGGGAGCCGGGGCCTCGCGCTGGCGCCGCTCGCGCTGGGGCTCGCGCCGCCCCCCCCCCCCCCCCCCCCCCCCCCCCCCCCCCCCCCCCCCCCCCCCCCCCCCCCCCCGCCCCACGCCGCGCCCCTCCCTCCTCGCCCCGCCCCGCCCCGCGCGCGCGAGGCTCTCGCGAGACCCGAGGGGAGGGAATGGAGCCACGGCCAATGGGAGGACTCGGGGAGGGCGGGACCCCGCATAGAAAAGAGGGCGTGGTCGGCCACGCCTAGAGGGCGTGGTCAAATAGAAAGCCCCGCCCAGGAGGTCCCGCCGCGCTGCGGGGACCGCGACATGTGGGGACATCGCGAACCCCGGGAAACCAGGACACCTCGAACCCGGGACACAGCCGGTGACGGCTCCCAGGGACACCCCAAACCACGGACACGGCCCCAGGACATGGGGACACCCCAAACCCTTCTCCCGGCCTCGGGCTGCCAGACAGTCGGTCCCGGCTGAGCTGTCCCCACAGGGCGGATGTCCCTGCAGGGATGGACAGAGGTGACAGCCCCGAGGACAGCAGTGATGTCCCTTGTCCTCTGAGGGCTCAGCCCCAGGTAGCTGGGGGGGGACAAGGCCAGCCCAGTGACACCAGACAGGTACACCAAGGAGACACGAGGAGCTGAGAGACCGTCATCAAACCGTCTTTATTCCCCCAGGGTCGGGTCCCCCCCCTGCCCCCCGGCACAGAGGGGCATCACCGTCACCCCCGCCACCCCCCTGTGTCCCCATCACATGGCGAAGAGGATGAGGAAGGCCACCATGAGGCAGAAGAGCCCCATGGCCTCAGACAGGGCGAAGCCCAGGATGGCGTAGGAGAAGAGCTGCTGCTTGAGCGACGGGTTCCTGCAGGGAGGGGAGGAGCAGGGGGGAGGTCAGCGGGGCACAAGGACCCCCAGGCCGCCCCTCTTTGCCCCCCCTGGAGCCCCCTGACCTGGCATAGCCGATGATGAGGCTCCCGAACACTGTGCCGATGCCGGCGCCTGACCCGGCCACGCCCACGGTGGCAGCACCGGCCCCGATGAACTTGGCGGCCGTGTCGATGTCCCGGTGGGCAGCGCTCGTCCGGAGGGTCCGGGGGGCTCCCACCTGCGCCTGGGGAGTGGCAGGGGAGGCAGGGGGGGGCTTAGCCTCACCCCAGATCCCCCCAGGATTCGGTTTCCCCCTGGGGAGCACCAGAGTGTGTGGGGGGCCACAGTCACCTCCCTGCGCCCTTCTCAGGGCACTGAGCACCCCCAGACCCCCCCATGTACCCCAGAGGGGGTGGGGGGCACAGTCACCTCCCTGTGCCCTTCTCAGGGCACTGAGCATCCCCAGACCCCCCCATGCCCCCCAGCCCAGGTGTGTTACCTGCTCTGGCCGGGCCTCGGGGCTGCTCAACACGGCAGACGAGAGGGGCTGGCCCAGCACCCTCGAGCTCCTCAGCACCTGCAGGGTACACACACACATCCCTCAGATTTTTTTTTGGGGGGACACCCCCACCCTGCACCCCCTAGGGCACTGAAAACACCCGGGGGTCTCCCCGTCCTCCCCCCAGGGCCACCTCTGTCCCCAGGAGGGGGGGGTTGGGGGAAATCACACATCACCCAGCCCCCTCCACAGAGAGAGGGGGCAAGGGGCTGTCACTACTCACGAGGGCAGGAGCTGAGACGAACTTTGCACAGGTGAACATGGCGGGGGCACGCGTGGGGCACGGCTGGAGGGACGGACAACGCGTGGGGACACGGCTGGAAAGGGACACACGTGAGGCTGGAGGGGTGACACGGGCACTGGGGGGCCGAGCCCGGGGGTGACCTCGGGGCACACAGGGCACACACACAGTGAGGTGGTGGTGGTGGGGGGAGAGGTGTCGCTGTCACTGAAAGGGCACGTGGGGGCCGGGGAGGGAGCCCCAAAGGACCCCCCCCCAAACACAGCGGGGTCCACCAAAGCCCAGCGGGTGAGGGGCTGCCCCAGCCGGCTCCATTTTTGGGGAGGGGACGCTGCTCTGTCCCCCACTCACAGTGAGGGGGGGCTCTGTTTGCCTCCCGTCCAGAAGGGACCCGGACCCCCCTTTACATCTCCCCCCTCCCGGGGTCTGTCGCCACCAAGGGCTCTATCCCCTCAAATCCCCCCCCCCCCCCCCCCCCCCCCCCCCCCCCCCCCCCCCCCCCCCCCCCCCCCCCCCCCCCCCCCCCCCCCCCCCCCCCCCCCCCCCCCCCCCGCCTCTCCCTGTCACCCCCAGCCCCTCCTGATCCCCCCCTGTTTCCACCCGGTCTCTCCCGGTCCCGCCGCTCTCTCCCCTCACCGGGCTCCGCCGGGCAGGTCGCGGCTCTTCCCTCTGCGCAGGCGCGGCCGGAAGCGCCGCCGGGAAGCGGCGGGTTCGGCCGCAGCGCCCCCTGCCGGCTCGGAGGACACAGTGCGGGCCCCGGGGACGGGGCGAGGGCGCGCGCGCCCCCTGGCGGGAAAGAGAGGGGGGACAAGGGGGGGGGAGTGTGTGTGTGAGTGTGTGTTCATGTGTGTTCGTGTGTGTGCACGTCTGTATGTGTCCATGTGTGTGTCCGTGTGTGTGTTCGTGTGTGTGCACGTCTGTGTGTGTCCATGTGTGTGTTCATGTGTGTGTTCGTGTGTGTGCACGTCTGTATGTGTCCATGTGTGTGTCCGTGTGTGTGTTCGTGTGTGTGTTCGTGTGTGTGTTCGTGTGTATATTCATGTATGTCCATGTGTGTGTCCATGTGTGTATTCATGTGTGTATTCATGAGTGTGTTCATGTGTGTTCATGTGTGTTCATGTGTGTGTTCATGTGTGCTCATGTGTGTATTCATATTTGTTCACATGTGTTCATGTGTGTTCATGTGCATTCATGTGTGTTCATGTGTGCTCATGTGTGTTCATGTGTGTTGTGTGTGTTCACGTGTGTGTGTGTGTTCATGTGTGTTCATCTGTTCATATGTGTGTTCATGAGTGGGTTCATTTGTGTTCATGTGTGTGTTCACGTGTGTTCATGTGTGTGCTCATGTGTGTTTTTACATGTGTTCATGTGCGTGCTCATGTATGCATGTTCACGTGTGTTCATGTGTGTGTGGAAGTGTGTTCATGCGTTTCTGTGCGTGCACACGTGTGTGTGCTCACGTGTTCATGTGTGTCTGTCCCTCAGCCCCCCAAACCCCCTTCTACAGCCCCCCCGCACCCCTCCAGCTCCCCTCTCTCCTCCCCTCCTTTCCCCCACCCCCCCCACCCCCTTCCCTCCTCCTTCGCCGTTTTTTCCCCCTCGTTTTCCCATTTCATTCCTGTATTCCCGATTTCCAACCGCTGACCTGAAAGGCTCAAATTAAAACCCAACTTTCTGTGCTCCAAGCGGGAGGGGGGGGGGGGGGGGGGGGAGGGACCCCCCTCATTCTGGCCCCCCCCTCCCCAATGTCGTCGTCGTTCCCCCCCCCGCGGTCGCTGATGGGTTTAATGTCCCCGTAATGGCTTTGACCTTGCGATTAATGGTGGCATCGGCGAAGCCGCCGCGGCGTGACAGAGGCTCGGGATGGGGCGGGTGGGCCCGCGGGGGGGGGTCCCTCACTTTTTAGGGGGGGTTTGGAGTCGAGGGGGATTGGGGAAACTGAGGCGCGAACGGGGCACGGTGAGGACCGATATGAATTTGGGGGGTGGGAGCTTGATGGGGGGGCCGGGAGTGGGAGTGGGAGTGCAGGGGGTTGATGGGGGGTTTCGAGGTGGGGGGGACACCCACCCGTGTGTTGATTGTGCGTGGCTGGGGGGGTCTTTGGGGTGCGGGGGCTGGCGGGGGTGCCCCCCACCCTGTGGGGCTGCCGGAGGGGGGCTACCAGGGTCCCTGGGGGGTCCCGGGGTGGGGGTCATGGGTAAGAGGGGGGTGCTGTTACCCCACCGACCCCATTCCTGCCCCCCTCCCGGTCCCGGTCCCGGTCCCAGCTCTGGCGCAGTCGCCGCCCGCGCTGCATCTTAATGAGGAGGCGGTGGGAGGGGGGAGAGGGGTGGGACGGGCCCCAAGAAGACCCCGGAGACGGAGATGGGGTGGGATGGGGATGGGGATGGGATGAGCACGGGATGGGGACCGTGCTCCCCACATCCCACCTCCTCCTTCTCTGCGGGGCTTCCCCCACCCACCGCGGCCCCACGGGGCACTGCCAACCCCCTCGGGAACGGCCACCCGGACCCCCGGGACCCCCTCGGGTGCCACAGCCCCCCCCCTTCCCCCGAGGAGGGGGCAGCGCCGGCGGCACCCACGCGTGAAATACAGCCCATAAATCCCTGCCCTGTTGTGTCTCACGGCTTAATTAGAGCACGGAGCGACATGATTCAGCCGAGGGGATGGCGTCATGGGAGGCAGGAAAATGGAGGGAATTGGCGGCTGGAGAGACAGGAGGGGAGAAAAACCTGCCTTGTGAGGGGGGCATTTTTCACCCTCGTGCTGCGGGTGAAAGGTTGGGATGCGCCGAATTTACCCGCGGGGATTTGGGGTGTCGACTGCCAAAACACCTCTAAACCACCCCGCACTGTCACCATCCCAGGAAGGGGGGGCTTTGCAGGGACTTTTCAGCCTGGGAGGGGTCCCCACACACCCCACAGCGATGGGAAGGGGGGTACCTGAACCTTCCCCCCCCCAGTTCCCTTGACCACAACCACGCTCAGCTCAACTCCAGCCACCTCGACCGGGGGATTTTCTTTTCTTCTCCTTTCTTTTTTTTTTTATTTTTTTTTTTTTTTTTACGTGCTCTTTTATGACAAACTTTACTTTACGTTTGACATTTAAAAGCTGATCAGATCTTCCCTCCAGGACAGGGGAAATGGAGATATTTATTGGGGTCTCGCCGAGCGCTGGAGGAGCTGTGAGATTTACTCCGACAGCGCGGCAGGATTATGGATCTCGTCTGCCCGGCCGGGACGCCGGGGCTGGGGCTGTGCCACGGGCAGGGGACAGCGATTTATGGGGGCCTCAGGGCCTGCTTTAGCCCCCCCTGAGAAGGGTTGGCAGGAAGGGGGTGGGAGCCCGGCAGAGCTGGTGAGGATTCTCCATCCCAGGTGTGAGGTTGAGCCAGCCGTGTCGCTCTCTGTCTGGAGGGGTTTTGGTGTTGATAGGGAGAGGTTTTGGGGTTTTTATGGTGATCCTGCAGCCTCTCACTGCCCCCAGACACCCAGCTGGCTGCTCTACCCCAACCCCACAGCATCTCCCGCTTGGGGACAGCGTCTGGGACATGGGGACACATCCAGGGTTGGGGGTGGCCTCTTGCGTGTGGGACACAACCTGGGGACAGTGTCTTGGACTTCAGGGTGCTCTCTCAGGCTGGGGACCGAGTCACAGCTGGGTTGGTGTCTTGGGATGGTGATTTGGGGCTGGAGAGACGTGTTTGGGGTCAAGGGGCAATGACTCCAACCTGGGGGTGTTGGCTCGGCTTGGGGACAGGGCAGTGGGGAGGGACATTTCCTGCGAGCAGGGACAATCCCTCACCCCTGGGGGCACACCAGGCAGAGGTTTGGGGGTCCCCGGGGTGATGCTGCCTTTGGAGCGGGGTGGGGGGAGGTTCAGGGGATGCAGGGGGAGGGGTGGGGGCTCAGCTCTCTCCCCCTCCCCTGCACTGCACCACGATGCTACGGAAAATCAAATCCCTGCAGTGGCGAGCGGGGGAACA